TACCCTCACCTTCATCCAGCACCCCAGCATCTGATAACGAGCTGTCATCTGAAATGGTGGCCAGTTCTGCAAACACAGAGCGAATCCAGAGTTAGCAGCCATGCACGTCCATACGCCCAACATATGCTGCCAACGGTCACGCGCTTCATTCATCATTCAGCCCCACGACCAGCCAGTCAGTCAGGGATGGGTTAGCTGCTTCTGGGGCCCCACTCAAAAAGCCCCCCCCCCCAGGTATTTTAATTTAAATAAACAGCAATCAAATAGAATCAGAAGATGGTAGCCAGCTAACTGCTTAGCAAAGCACACTGCTTCAGCATCTCCTAAATAAGGAACGTTTATTTAACCGTGTAGTGAGTTTGTGGCCAACAAGGGACCCCCACACAAATGTGTGCTTTGAGTGGGGGTAAGCACCGCTGCTACGGCTGGCTTAATGGGGGCAGGGTGGTCACCTTTCTGCCCAGGAGCGGAGCGGGGCCGGGGCGAATTGCGGCCCATCTTGAGGCGCAGCTGAAACAGTGCCTCCTGCAGCTCCTTCATCTTCCTCTCCTGCAGCTTGCAGTGCTGTATGCGGCTCCTCCGCACCTGTCTGCTCAGGTGCTGCTCCCGGGACAGCCGGCGGGCCGCCTCATAGATCTGCGTCTGCAGGGCCAGGTCGGCCTCCACGGCGTGCAGCTCTGAGTCCTGTGGGGGGAGGGGGGTAGGGGTATGATGCTGGTCCCATTCCGGCAGGCCAGACCCAGGGCTGATTCATTATTACAAGACAAGCACCAGCTGCACTCTGCTCAACTCCCCCTTTCTAAATCTGATTCCTCCTTAGCCCAACCTCTCTGATTTCTATTGCCTGGACTATTACTTAAAAAAAAAACCCTAACCTCAACAATACACATTTTCTTCCCATAAAAAAAGTTGTTATAATTTTCTCATGTTGCTATGCTGATGACTCTATCCAAAGAATCTTTGTACAGGATATGGTAACATATTTGTGGGGGCTTGTTGAGTAGTTATGGGATATCCTTCCCAGCATGCCTGCCTGTCTGTGTGGCTCCCCAGCATGCCTGCCTGTGTGGCTCCCCAGCATGCCTGCCTGTCTGTGTGGCTCCCCAGCATGCCTGCCTGTCTGTGTGGCTCCCCAGCATGCCTGCCTGTCTGTATGTGTGGCTCCCCAGCATGCCTGCCTGTCTGTGTGGCTCCCCAGCATGCCTGCATGTCTGTGTCGCTCCCCAGCATGCCTGCCTGTCTGTGTCGCTCCCCAGCATGCCTGCCTGTCTATGTGGCTCCCCAGCATGCCTGCCTGTCTATGTGGCTCCCCAGCATGCCTGCCTGTCTATGTGGCTCCCCAGCATGCCTGTCTATGTGGCTCCCCAGCATGCCTGTCTGTCTGTGTGTGTGGCTCCCCAGCATGCCTGTCTGTCTGTGTCGCTCCCCAGCATGCCTGTCTGTCTGTGTCGCTCCCCAGCATGCCTGTCTGTCTGTGTCGCTCCCCAGCATGCCTGGCTCTGACATATCCTTCCCACCAGGCTTTGCAGTGTGCATAATTCTGCCCACTGTTAACTTTATCTGTTCATCTTAGTCTTTATTGGGTCTATTACAATATTTTACTATATATTTATAATATTTTGCTATATATTTAATATATTTCTACTATATATTACAATATTTGACTATAGTACTCTATAATACTCAGTGAAAATCCAAGTACCTCACTGAGACCAAACACCCCCCAGGAAACAACAGCATAGCTCCTCCCAGGACCTGAACTTAGCTGGTTTTAACTCCAGAGACTAGCTAGGGCAACATGGGAGGGCACTTCTCCATCTCCATCCGTCTCCCCGATACCATACCTCTCCATCTTTCCGCAAGCTCTCCTCGTCCAACTTGAAAGCGGCTCCGATCCTTCTGCGAATGCGAGGAGGTTTCTCCCCTGGCAACAGCGGGTAGTCTGAGGACAGCTCTCCAGTCAACTCCTGAGCAGGCAGCAAGACCAAACAAGATTAATTAGAGTTGTACGTGCTTGGGACACTTGACGTTTACACAACACATCATTTCATGACAAGAGAAAGCAGCATATTTATGTAACTGTCTAGTAATTTTTTAACCAGAGTACATAATTACCAATTTAAACAAATCAATATTTTCATTAATCTTCAGCAGGAACCACTTAGCAAAAGGAGTCTTAGGCACACCACAATTTAACCAATAATGGACAAGCTACCATAGTTCATAACAGCCAAGACTCATAAACAAGTTAATCTTTACAAACAATGTGAGCTATTGTTTACATGTTTTTGCTCCTTGTTTAACAAAGATTAGGCCTTTGTGCCACCAGTTTGAATCCCAGTTTTGGCAAAACAGCCACAGGTCTGTTGGACCCTTGAGCAAGGCCCTTAAACAACC